TATCGGAATTATTGGTTGGTTGGTTGGTTGGGTGAATCAAAAAACAGATAGTTGTAACTGTAGCAACCGGCAAAGTCAACAATGACGATGTTTTTGTCTTTTTTTTTTTTTTTTTTTCGTAGCATAATATCCAGAATATCAAAAAAAAAAAAGAAAAAGAAAAAAAAAAAGACCATATCAAAATGTCATTAATGTTTTTTTTTTGTCTGTTTTGCTGTTTTTGTTGTTATTTCATCTCAAATCGTCTGAATCATATCAATGTATACAAAATAAAGCAAAAAAAAGTGCTAGCAAATTTGTTCATTTTAGTTCAATATCAAAAAAAAAAGACAGAAAAAACATTTACAATTTTATGCGTCGATACTATTCTAAAAAACAGCTTTTTAAAAGTTGATCTAAATAGCCCCCCCCCCCCCAAAAAAAAAAAAAAATAGACAAATAAGCAAATAAAAACTACTAATTAAATACTGGCGCAAAATTGTTTCAACTTTCTTAATCTGATCTTAATTATCAAACGTCTGCTGCTGAAACAGCAACTAAAACAATAATAAACAGCGAGAAAAAAAGAAAAAAGAAGTTATCTTGAACAGTTTTAAAACTGCTTTTTAAGCCTAATATTTCCCTCTCTAGCTGTAACCTTCTCTTTTTTTTTTTCAACACTTTCTATCAGTTTCTGCATATTGATAAGACCACTAAAATTTTTCTCAATTTTAAACTGTTTAATAAGACAAGAAAAACAAAAAAATTGTCGGGATAAAATAGATTACAACTGTGTATAACAAAATTATACTTCAGAGGTTAAAAAATCAATACAATTAAGTAACGATAAAAATAACTTTTAAGTATGTAATATTTGACACTAGCTAAAAAACAGTGAAACTTATTGAATAAACAATAAATAAAAAGTTTGTCTGTTTATTGGCATAAAATTGGCGATGAAAAAAAAAAAAAGTAAAGTTAAAATTTATTGCTAACTAAAGTTAGTTGACAGATGAATGACTGGTGGAAGAGTTATTAACTAAAAGCACTACCAATGTGTTATTCAATATCCGACACTTCAGATCGCGTAAAAATTCCACAGTGTTGTAGCTGAAAAATGCAGTAAAGTAAATGATGAAGAATGAACATCAGTTTTTTTCAGAACTTTTAGTGAAACAATTTTTTGTCACTCCATCTCTTTCTCCTCTATTTTAGTTGCTTTTTGCTAAAGAAGTGGTTTTTGTCTAGGACTTTCTTCTGGACAGAGAGAGAAAGAGGGAGAGAGAGAGATAGAGAGAGAAGGCCGACGAGAAGAAAGAAGGAAGAGTAGGCTTGTCTGGAAAAAGCGATTCATCTCAGAATACAGGGCGCTCCATCCCACGTCATCTTCTCCTAAAAAGGGGAGATAAAAAGATGGGTCAGTAAAAAATTAGCATCTTCTTAATGAAACTGTAGATTTTATTATTGATCTGGACGTTATTCAAGTTTGAATAGTAGACAGTTTTATTTGAATGAAAAATGCTGCAACTTTTCGAGCCACAAACCTTAACCAACTTCCTCAAGTTACTTGTAAATTTACCCGTTTTGATTTTTCGATAGAAGTATCCTTTAGCTGCTGAATAGCAAAAAAAAGTATGTGCTTCCTTTTTTCCCATGCCCTTAAATAAAAACTTCAAAAAAAATCAAAGCGGAAAAACCTAATTTCAATTCTCAAACTTTCAACAGTCTGTTAACCAGTTAATTATCACAAACTTGAATCTTCCAAATGTATGCAGGTCAGAAACAAGGCCAACAATTTCTAGTCTATAAGGCGCATTAAGCCCTTTAGAAAAGTTTTAAAAAAAAGTGAGCATCCAGTGACAGTTATAACAATAACCAGTGACAACTATAGCAGACTGCTTAAGCTAAACTTTAGAATTTTCAAACAAAAAATTATGACTTATTAATAACAAGTAGTTTTTTTTATTCTCTCTGTGCCGGAAATTATTGGCATAGAAGAACTGAGTTACATTTGCCTAGCCAACCTACAAGACAAAACAAGTGCTTGAAATAGCTGTAGAGAAATCTGCAGTTTAAAAAATGTTGAGTATTGCTAAGGTGAACAGTAATGTTGGTTAGAATAATAAACATTCAAAAAATGACTAATCACGATGGAAAGGATGAAATCCTGCCATTTGTTTCATGCATCAAAATGCTTATAGCGCATTCTTTCCAATGTACACAGAAATTCATTTTCGTGACGAATATATACAACTGTTAAATTTTTGGAACCGAAAGCATTAGGCTACGATGAAAATGGGCAGTTTTCTTTACCGCTAATTCTTCTGTGTTTGAAGACAATTTTTCTATTATAACTGCTGAAGAAATTTATTGCTGTAGTACGATGATATATGGAAAACAGAATTGAATAACTTATGAGCACCTTTAATGACCAGATGTGTGCTGCTACCTCTCAGACAGCAAAATTCCATGTTTCATCTCTTAGTCTGAATAAATTTTTTTTTTTTTTTTTTTTTGCAATTTTCAATTCAATTTTCAATCCTCCACTCAATTTCATCTTTATAGAGAAACTGTAAACTTGTAGACGCCAGTTTTTAAAAACAATGATACTACTATAATCAAAAAATTTTTGAAGGGTTTAAAACATTTGTATGATCAGAACAAGTAACCAGAAACATATGAATAAAAAATGAAAAAAAAAATTAGGGAAATGTCCATTAAACATTTCCAAATGTTTACTTTACAGCCAGCCAAAAAAACCGAATGAAAAAAGAGGAAGTCTGTATACCTCAATACAAATTACAGTTGCATAGCTGTATAAATATAGAGTTAAAAAGCTGAAAAACATTTGATTCTGGGTAGAAACCAACAAAAAATTGGCCAGTTTAATTGTTACAGATGAGTAAGTAAAAAACTGATTAAGTAAGAGAAAGAAAATTGAAATAAAGCTGTAATTAAGACGAAAATTAATCTGTGTAACAGGAAATTTGAGTGTATAACTGTACAAAAGAAACTTGGTTTTCCTAGAAAGCTAATCTCAAAATCTGCCATAAATCGGTTGCTTTACAAGTCAACATTTATGTTATGTTCACAACTCGCTGTGAAAGAAGAACAAAAAAAAACATTTCTTATGCATTGCCGATTGTTTTCCTAGCCGGAATTCAAAATTTTCAATTGAATGTTAGCCTATTTTTTCCTGAGTTTTTGAAATACATTTTGATTACTGATTTCAAAGCTTTCGCTTTTTTTGTATTTGACACCAATAGGTTTGTTCTGTTGATTAATTTCGCCGTTGACCTTAGTGTAACATTTTTTTCTGTACAATATGTTCTATGAAAAACACTAATTAGTGGAACAGAAAAAAATACTAAAATTCTATGAACTGGGTAACTTAAGTGTGGAATAGAAAACGCCAAGTGTAGAATTGAGCAAAAACGTTCTGTTAGAGTGACATCAGTTGCCAATGCACGGTTTGAAATTGCCGCAAAGCCTGAATGACGTTGAACGCAGCGGCTGTGCCGTTAATTGGTCGTTGGTCTTTTCCCTTGAACCGCCGCCCAACTGATACCCGAGATCTCACTGAAATGTCTACTCACTTTTTCGGTTAAATCTGCCGGGTTTCCTAATGTTTCAAGTTGATAGCGGTATTGAGCTGAAAATTTACATTTCCTTATATTTTTGGATTTGTTCTTCGCAAAGTTTTATGGTTTGAATGCTCTGTGATAGGGTTTCGCGTTGTTTACAGACGAATATGCTGAGTTTGAGTTTTTAACTGACTTTTAACATGTGATACCTTTTACCGGCAATCACTTTTTAGTTTTTAAAGCTGTCAGTATTACGTACTAGGCGTATTGTTTTTGTTAGGCGAAATTCCGGGATCTGTGTCTGTATAAATCATTGTTCTGTAACAGCAATTAGTTCTCCGTTCTAAAGTTCACTGTACAGCGAAATATTTGTTGTTTTTCAATTTTTTAGATCTAACTTGTCAAAGTATGTGGTGAAGTAAAGATTTCGGGAAGAAATAAACTTTTAACTCTTTTTTGTTTTACTTTTTTCTTTTTGTCGCATGCTTTTATTTCGTTCTGGAGTTGTTTTTACTCGCTTGAAGAATACCTCCACTGTACTAAATTCGCAAGTGTTATCCAAAACTAGATGATGTGGCTTGTTTTTCAAGGTTTCAGTAACTCAAGCTTGCATATTTCGCCATCATGTCTGGAGGAAAGGATCGGATTGCTGTTTTTCCGTCTCGAATGTTAGTTTATCTACATTACTTGACTAGAATCTGATTTTGATATTTTCATCAGTTTCTGCTTTCTAGGTTTAGTATATAGTAGGAAATGGCTTTGGAACAGTCTTCAATTTTTCGTGTTCAGGATCACTGTTTTGTGGTTGGTTATTGCTAATGATCTTGTAATTTCAGGGCACAAACAGTAATGAAGGTTCGTTTAAAGGCGGCACAAAAGGGTCACAGTTTATTGAAGAAAAAGGCTGACGCCTTAAATATGAGGTTTCGATCAATCTTGGGTAAAATTGTTGAGGTAATTTCACAATTGCTGTACTGAAGCATGGTATCCCGCTTGCTGTTGCTGAAG